TGTGAGAAAAGTAACAGTTACATCTGGAATATTTCCAATTTTTCTGCTAGCACTAAAAAAATAATTGTAACAATAACAAAAACAAAAATCTATAAAAATCATTTGAAAATTTCCATAGACTTGAAGCACAATTTTGTTGGTGTGGTAGTACTGATGCCTCCTAAATTTTCAGAATAGAAATTTCTGTCATAAACTTAAAAAAGTACCTTCAATATGTTCAGTGTAATTATCCTATGTTTCATTGTTCTGTAATGTGAATGGTAAGACTTGAACTACAGGGGATGCAGACATGCCTTTGTTTTCACATTGATATTTCTTCTTATGCAATGCTCCCTTTTTAATTCTTGATCATGAAAGCCACTTCAAATGTTCTTATGGTTTGTAATACCTTAAAAAAAAAAATCTATATGTAGTTTAACAGCAGCAAGCTGTCTAAACAGGAAGTATATGATAAGGTCTCTCTAGAAGTCTGTTTTCAGATCGTTGTATTATATTCCCATTGCCTTTGCAAGTCCAATTCCTCTTCCCTTGCGTGTGCTTCCTCCATTTTTTTTTTTCAATCATTTGACTACACAGAGCTGCCTCATGTCATTCTTTGCATACATCATCTTTGTTTTTTCTCTCTTCCCGCATAATAGCTCAGCTTTCTGGGAGTAGCTGTTGTCCTGAATGTGATCCTTTACTAACACGGGGATTGAATGAAGGTGGAGCACAAATTATCCAGAGGCAAAGGGAACGCAGGCGTTTGAAAAGGACCCAGAAAGGAACAAATAATGAACCAGGGTGGCTTCGATGAATTGCTGTAGAGGGAATTCTCGGTTTTGACACAAAAGGAACCCACGGATACCAAGAAAAACCTATGAAGAGAATCTCAGTAGGAAACTTGCCTCGTAGGCTGGTCAGGACAGAGGGTTGAAGCCAGTAGCCTTCCAGATATGAACAGAAACAAATTATTTTATGACTAAAGTTTAACATTCAAATATGCCGGTTTTTGGAATACAAGGTGCTTTGAGGAGTTGACATCTCTTCATAATTCAGGTTCATTGTTTCTCTAAGTAAAATATGTGTTTCCCTTTAGTTATTCTGTTAGGAATTGTACTTTCAAGGCAAGAGGACATTTTTGATAATGCACATCTTAAGACTTTTCATTAAAGTACCAAATTTAAATTCTACCTTTTTGTGCACTCTGACATTTTTGTCTGGCATTTTCATTAATTTTGCGACATACATAAATGTAGCTGAAATGTTAACTGATCAATACTTTGTCTCTCTCATGTAGCACTAGCGCTCTGTTCCCCAAGGACCACACAGCAGAACAGAAATTAAATGTGTAAAATATCAAATGTTAATGTTAAACACAGCGGCACTTACTGTATAACGACAGAAAAGGCTAAAACAATTCCAAATGGACAGATGGTACCACAAATTATCTACAATCACATTTAAAGATTAAAGTTTGTCCTGTAAAATAATTCTTTGACGCACACTGAAGTGTGTCCTTTTACTGATAGCTCAGTTGTCCAATTATTTTTGTGCTCATTACAGTGAGAAATGACAGTACTGTAAAGAGAGAATGTGCACTCTTTTTTTTTTTCCATGTTGCACCCACTGACATCCACAAGAACACAAATGTCTGGTCAAGAGCCTGATGAAAATTAGGCCCAATTTATGAGACATTTCCATGTCTACAAGAGATGATTCCCAAAGACGAGCAGTGCCTTCTGCACCACACACGTCTGTGTTCATTCTCAAGCAGACAATATTCATTGTAATATTTAAAAACTGAATTCACTGCACACAAAAATAAGAACATGCCCAGAAACGTGTTTGCTTATATTTTATCCGTCACCTTCCAGACCGATTTCTGTCTCTTAAATCACCAGCTGCCTGTGAATCTTCCCCACTGCACATAGGTTGGGCTCTAAGAGGCTAACCCCATATTTCTTGTGCTTCCAATGGTAATTGATATCGGGACAAAAAAGAAAAAAGATTGTTTTTCCACTTTGATTTCATTATTCTACATTTATTTTTGGATAGTAAATTAGAAGAGAAAAATAACACAGAATTTTAAAAAGGCACTTAAACATTATAAAGTTTACTGATGTGGGCCTAAAACCACGCCACATAATGGTACAAACGCACATGCTCCATGAGGCAGCTGCTTTTATGAAAAAGTGGGCCAAGTGGAACCAATATTATAATAATAGACCCACGATCCATCAACAGGGAATGATGGGAACAATATGTCTGTAACAATAGGGTGCTGCTCATACTCTTCTCCTAATGGAAAGCCATTCTTTTCAATAAACTGGCCTAAAAAGGCTCTAGTTACACAATGAGATCTTTGAAACATTTCATTTTTAATATGCACATCATTTAATATCATGAGATGAATAAATATCCTATAATAGTTTCTTTTCTGAACTGTTATAACATTAAATTACAAGGTATATAGTATTTTAATGGTTCTTTGAGGAAGGAAGAAATATCTGCTGTGTGGTCTTGAGCAACAAACTTAACCTTTCTGTATCTCAGTTTCTTTCTTCTGTATATTAGGAAAATAACAGTATGTACCTCATAAGGTTGTTGGGGATATTAAATTCATTAATGCATGAAAAAAGTTTCTTGCAACATAGCAAGTGTTTAATAAATATTGGGTTTTTTTGTTATTGCTATGTAAGGATCATTTTATATTATAACTTCATCTGAGGTTAAAATAGATGATTGATAAAGAATTATGAGTTTGTAATTAAAACGGAAACTTCAAGGAAAATTGCTGCAATAGTATTAATCTATACTTATTATGACTTAATAACTAACTTAATTAGAGCAAACCTTTAGTTATCTGGCATTATTGAAAAGTGAGAAACATAAGAAACATTTTCAGATTAATTGATTGATTCATTGATTAATCAATTGATTGAGTCAGCTATTTATAATGGGAGCTCACTATGGTGCAGGTGATGCTGAAATACCAGGATAAAAAAGGTAGGGTTCACCATTCTCAAAGAACTCCCAGTGGAGATCTAAGTATATAAAGTTTGGCTTTGTTATTTGTTGTTTTGGTCACATTCCATAGGAAATAATCTGGCACTTCTTTTTTTTTAGGGATACACAGTTAATATTATTGTTTCTTCTCAAAAGTACTCAGTATGTGTTCACACTGTAGTTTGTGGCCTCTTTTTTCACCACCAATGTCAGCAGGCCTACCTTTATTGTACCCACCCACCTTTTTTTGCAAGCCTCGTGCATACACCCTGTGTTTCCTAGGACTGAATCTGTCAGACACTGACCACCAGGTAAGAGAGGTATTATTACATTCCTTCCCCAGTGAACTTTGAAACATTCCTTCCCCTGTAAACTTTGAAACAATTCAAGTAATATCATGTAAATATACCAAAGTTGCTCAGAATTCCAGTGCCTGATTTTTTTAAGAATCAAAAGGAAATTGAGGAAACAAGGTTGCCATCTTGAATTCTTGTTACCCAAGTGACTTCTAAAAGTCAGAGGTTTATAAAGGCTTACAAAACACCTGTAATGCTAAAGTGTTCCAAATGAATGTTCCTGAAAAAATGATACAATTACCTACATTTCTCTGTTTTAAAATTCTACGAAGAGCTATGAGAAATGATTTTGGAAGAAGTGAATCAAAAATGGCAGCATGATCTTTTCAGTAGAATTTTTGTTGCATCTGTTATAGGGTCCTATAGAACTTTCAAGTAACACTATAGTATAAAATATACATCGAAATTCAATATTATTTTTTCTCATTAATGTCAAAGTGCCTCTTGGCTAGTGGAAAATCAGAATAAAATTTGCTTAGCAATACCCCAATATATTTATTACGTGAAAGAGTTACTAAAAGTATATTGAGAGGGAATTTTTTGTTTGTTTTTCTCTAAAACTTGATGATGACGATTGCTTTCTTTAAGGAGACAACAACGTGTCTATGGGAAGCAGGCTGCCTAACTTTCTGGTAACTTACAACACAAAGGGACATACACACTCTTTGTTCCATGTGCTCAGACATTAATGAAAGTCCCATACAAGGCCTGAGAGAAGGACAGGGCTCAAAGTACTAAACAGATGTGCATACACTCATTTGAATGGTAATACTAAAATGTTGATTTGTTACTATAATTAAGGCTCTTCTTGTAAATGAAGTCGTATTCTGCTAAACTGGCAACTATAAGGAAGTATAAGTTACTCATATCCTAACAAACACGAAAATAAAATAAAGGATTTCAAAAGAACGACTCCACTTAAACTTCAGACTGAAGTCCTGAATAAGCAAAAATAACGTGTGAGAAGAAAATCCTAGCTAAAGAGCTAAAGCTCAGAGAAAAGTGTTCTTTTGGATTTTCTAGCTCTGCCAGTTGGTCTCATCAGCAGTTTTTAAATAATCAAAGTAAAAGGTTACAAGATGAACATTATTAAAGAACTATTTGGACATATCAAATTCTCACTTGCGACTTTTTAAAAACTGGAAATCTCAGAAATAATAAAAACATCTCTTAAATAGGTCACACCCACTTCCAATTGATTCATAGATTAAAGCATTACCAACTAGCATTCTAATCCCAATGATTTTCACATTTTGAAAATTTTTCATATTTTATAGAACAAATAAAATCAAATTGAGGTTGGTCAACATTATTATTATTATTATTTTTTCACACTGAGGACTTTTCTTGGCTCTCCTATTGGGATTTGGAATTATGCAACATGTAAAATCTTACTTCTTAACTGTCACAGAGAAAATTATACATTGGCTGAGATGTCTTGTGTTCCGGAAATCTGAGGGGGGAAAATGTATTCTTGGACTCAGACCTTGTACAATCCATCAGGTTCCTGCCCACGGCAAATCTGTCCAGTCAAGTCTTAAAATAGGAGTTTTAAAATGGCCACATCAACATAACTGTTACTATAGCCACAGAAACATGCAGCTATGATTACTGAATTTAATGAATAACAATGTAAGTAATACAGTATGATCATACCACAAAAGCAGCGAGACTCCTTGGGGGTGAATCCCAATCAAAACAACTATTTACGTAGTATGCAGCATTTACGAGCACCATGACACAACGCTTCATTCGGATAAAGTTTCTCAGTAGCAGCTGTAAGGAAAATGAAAATATTATTAGAATTTGCAAGACTAAAAACCATCAGACATACTGCAAAATTCTTTTAGCTTATTGCGATTTAAAAAAGATTCAGAAAGTTAGTAAAGTTACGAGAACATATCAAGCAATTTGGCTCACAAGTTAAAGGAAAAGAAGTATTTCTGGAGAAAGAACTGACTGATAAAAGCAACTTCTTGGCTAAATATATTTTTAAAAATAACGTTATTATGTAGGCTGGACTACCTTTGCTTACAAGAAAAAAAGATTTCTAACAGATTTTAAAATGTTTTTACTACTCACATATTATACACCTTTATTAATTTTAAACTCTTAAACCTTATTGTGGTTTTAAGATTCATTAAATGTTTTATTTCAAGATATTTTAACATGAAATGAATAACTTAAAATGTTTTTATTTAGGGTGTTAGAGAAAAACTTGTCAATTATTGTTTTCTTAAAAAAAAAATTTTCACCATTTTAATAGAATTCCTCACTTTCTTAACTATCATATTATCTATCTATCATCTCCTACAATCAGTTTAACCTATATATTCTCATTACTTTTTCATAATTTCAGAGGTAAGAAAAAATTTATGGTAACCAAGCACTTTACACAATCTTTTTAATATATATAATTATGTGAAAATTGATATAATTAAAATTTAAAATCAAGGAATGACTACAACTGTAAAAAAGAATAGCTCATGTACTAGATAATGGTTCAAAAACTACATACAGCAATATTAATAATTAGAATAATTATCTGTCTGCAGGTTAATATTTTGCTATTTCCAAATACACTTCAGTGATGGTCTGGTATATTTAAGAAGTAGCTATGTAACATTTATTGAAGTCATATGGAAAAAACATACACATGTGTAAATATAGACACACACATGCATGTCAGTTTTAACAAGTTGCTAAAATTGAAATTCCTTGAAGACCCCTATCACTTCATTGAAGAACGACTTTTATTACTTTCACTGATAATTGTGGAGGAATGTAATCTATATTTCTACTTAGATAGCTACTGCACTTGTAATTCATACACTGTCTTTGGACAATCAAAGATCCTACTGTTTTTGGTAAATTTATTAGACAAAAAAAAGATACATTTAGGCTTCTAATATCACAAAAATAATTAAATAGTTCAAGGTGCAAATATGTTCAGGAAACTTTTTAGCCATAGTAAATGCATTTTATTTTAACTCTGTTAACTGCATATAAACTTTTTTTTTTCAGGGATAGCTTAGAAGTTTTTTAAACTTGATATCAAGCTTAATTTAAAATAAGCGATGGATATCAAGCTTAACTTAAAATTCCTTCATGATAGAAAAATCAGACTTCCTATGTTTTTATTTTCTTAGCCAAAATGCCAATATAAAAGTTGACTTCTAAAAGATGATAGTTATCTAATTAGCAGGAAGGTTTCCCTGAGAAGATGGAGCCTCCTTGCATCTGGATTAGAGGGAAGAGCTTTATGCTGGGCTCAATTTACACACACCTGCATCATACCTGTGGGTGGTCTGGACATATATTTGAACCTCAGCTTTTGGTGTTCTCATTTACACATTCCATGGCAATCAAATTGTATTTTATGTTCCAAATGATCATTCTTTTGCTAACGCATGAATACATATCCATTATATGCAGTACCTACAGTAGCCCCTTCCCTTTCTGACCACCCCCATCCAATTTATTAGTTTGGTATTGTCCTTGTTTGATCTTTTAAAGAAAGGAAGGAAGAGAAAAAAAAAAAAAGGAAAGAAAGAATCATTTTCAATAAGTAGATGATCAAAAATTCCACAGTCTTCCCCTCCCTCCATACCTCCAAAGTTTATTTGAATTTACTTAGATGTTTTACAGATATAATCCGGTCTTCCCAGAGGGATTAATCTTTCCTTGCTTTTTACCTGTTTAGAGAGTCTGTTTTCCTCTTCAATGTACTTCTGTTCTTTGGGTATTAATGTTCGTAAGCTGGCTTTCACCTGTATATCAACATATGTGTCTGTTATGAATTAATATATTACAAATGCTTACAAGTTTTTCACGCAGTTCAATTTGCAATAATTTCAAAAGTTTCAAAGTCCTGGCTGCAGTGCTCATAAAATATAAATGTATACAGTTGCACATGCATGCGCTTGCCTTTCTTATGCCGGCAGGCAGCGACCAGAGCACACCCGCAGCAGCAGTCGCCAACTAGAACAGAAAGTGTGGGTGTGCCAGCCAGTGGCAGAAGCGTATTCTCCAGGATACATCAAGGTTTAGAGAAAATGAGGAATGACAGAAATTCTCTACAAATCAGGAACAAAAGCTTTCATGAAACTGAACTCTTTAGCAGTACAAAAAAGCCAAAGTTAAGACTTACAGCATTAAAAATCACATCTATTTCAAGATAGATGACCCCCTTTGTTGGCCCTGTCAGCTGCTTGTTTTTCAAGACGTAGGCTTTCTGTTCACCATTTTGAATCTGCGGGAAAAGGACATGACAGCCGTCTGTCTCGCGGTCTCCACTGAATACACTCCCTCAGTGACCTTTGACCCCCAGCTGCTGAAACTGACAGAGAACCCAAAACAACTGTGGCAATTCTGACAAGTACCTGTTCATTACCAGGATCAAGTCTGTCAGGAAAAATTAACTATCATGGGATTCAACATGGCCGTGAATTGAGTATGTTAAAATTTTTAGTGTTCTTATTACAGACCTTGGTTGAGAAATGACAGACTTAGAGCTGAGAGTTTTTTTGTTTTTTTTTTTCCGTGAGCAAAGGCAACACAGAACAGTGTGTCAGGTGAATAAAACTTACAGACAGCAATGGTATAGCAACTTTGCCCAGAAAGTCAGCACTTCGATCCCGATCTTCATCATAAACTGTCACTTCAAGAACTGAATGGATATCTTTAATGTTGCTGCACAATAAATACATGTAAGAAAAAAAAAGATTTCATCAGCGGGAAACAAGAACAAAAATGTTTTTGAAAAATTTTTAGATAGCTCCAGCTTAGTGTGTGTGTGTGTGTGTGTGTGTGTGTGTGTGTGTGTGTGTGTTTATGTATGCTATTTGCATACACACATATACAAGGTAGCTTAGTATCTGACAGAATTTCCCATAATGCACTTTAGTCGACTACAGTGATGGTTCTATTATCTGGAGCTTTGAACACCATTGTAATTTTAAGTCATAATGTTTTAGTGAAATATAATTTCCCATTTGGATAGGCAAAGAATAAGTTATTTTAAAAAATCAATAGTAACACTGGTGTTTTTAGACTTTTCCTTTTTCTCATTATCACAATTCATATCTCCCCATTACCTGTACATAAAACAGGTTTGATATCAGCAAGAGTCACAGTATATTTTATATAATTATTCTTTTTTTATACAATAAGATGTCTCTTGTTTGTTTATAGCTTTCACCAAAACATTGACTTAGTTTCTGTTAGGTTTGTAGTAAAAATTAACAAACACAAAAACAGAATGGATAAAATGTAACATTTAGTTATTGTACCACCTTGGAATTTAGAAATTAAGTAGTGTTCCATTATGTTCCAAGGACAACATATGTTAATAAACAACTGTGTGAGCTCTTCATATTTTTGTTTCTGGAAAAGAAGCACAAATTGTTGACAGCATTTATTCTTTGATCAAATTGTTTACCAAGATAATATGAATTAAGAGAAAACAAAAAAGTGAATATATTCATTATTAAGAAATTGCAACCACATGTGAGAAGAGGCTTTATCAGGGCACAATCAATTAATGACTTTGATAATAATCAAACCTATTCACTCGATTAGGCATTCTGAAGAAAAACACTCTCCACAATCTTCTTAGGAGTGCAAGTCTCCTGACCAGGCTTTTATCTCTTATAAAAATGTGGAATTCCTTAAAAATAAATTGGTCAGACAATTAAAGCTGATTAGTTACTGGTTCTTAAGCAGAGACATTATAAGAAACAAATGAAGAATTTAGTAGTTTTTCATATACAAAAAAATAAAGTTATGTTAAAAAACTTTAAAGAAGTACTTCTGTTTGGAGAGGTTTCCTTTGTTCAGAGTTCATTTCTAAAGCCCCATTAAAAAACCCGAACTTTAGAGTTTCCATGGTGTAGCATTGACAGCCTTTAGAGTGCATGATTGAAAAGATTTACAAACTTTTTAAAACAAAAGGAAAATTAACTCAAAAGGTGTTTTGGTATATAGGACAATACTTAATATTCTTATTGTGCTAAAATGAAACAAACCAAAACTAAAGCATCTGCCGAATTCGAGACCAGATTGTTTGCTGATTTCAGCAATGGAACAAATAGAGCTTTGTCCTCCCTGGTGTCAATGCAATTGGGAAGAATTTCAATAGAAAGTAAAAAAGGAAGAAGCGGTATGGCGATTCAGTTAATGGAAGAGAAACCCTTCGTCAAATCATATAAAAAGCACAGTTTAAAAAATGTCTATGAAAACAAAGAAAAATGGCATACCCTTTGCCCAGGTTTCAATCTCAGAAAGGTAGGAAGTTAGAAAACTCATTGTCATTAGGAAATGCTGTTCAGATGCACTGAGTTATGAATCAGTTAAATAAACACACACATTTTTTTAAAAACTAAAAAACAAATAAGGTTTGACACAATTTCTGAAATTGTAATTCTGAAATGAGCCCAAGATAATGTCTACTTACAACGTGAAGACTTTGTTCCAGTCAGGATTGAGATTTTTGTAGACAGTATGTGTTAGCAGTCTATCGTTGTTCAGTTCTACCACACAAAATGGGTCACTTTTACCTACAAGAGATTTCGGGTGAATTTTTTAGTATAAACAGCATTCACAGTTCACAGTGTTATGATCATGACCATATCTCTTTTTCAAAAAGTTTTCTAGTAAGCAAAAAGAGAAGTAGAATTTTAAAATCAAAAAAAGAAACCATCAAAATAGAATTAGATGTAACTGGTTGATGCTAGCAATCATTATGATTCATAGCAATTGAGAACCTGAAAAAAGTAAAAGAGAGAAAATTATATAGCTGGCATTTCAATTTATGATTTTTTAAAATAACAATAATACTATTACTGCCAAATATGATGGAGAATGTGATGCATATCTGTCCCTAAATCAGTTTTTATTAAATTCTGTAAGGACCATTTGAAAAGTCTCCCCTCTTACTATTGTGTATATATTTTGCAACTCACCTGATTCACTAGTAACTTGTAACGACAATCTCTAATCAAGTCTATTGGGAAAACCACTATATTGCAGAATTATAACATTTTAATCGGACTGAGATTGAATTACTTTCTTTTGAGATTTCTATGGCATCACAAGAACGTAAATTAGACCCTCTGAGGCAGAAAAAATTCTGCCATTTGAAACTTAACATAAGCAACCAATCTGCATGTTAAATAACAGTATGGTTTTTCTTTGTCCACTGAGAGAAAAGGATTTGGACGTTATCATCTGTGGCAACTCTGTCCTGCCATACTCCAATCTCATCCATTTGGTAATTCTGTTTTGTGGAATCCTCAATATTTTTGTAATGTTATGTCCTGTATTATATAAACCCATAAAGTCAGAGGCTCTATGGGGGCAGCATTAATGATATTAGTGCAGGCTGTAATTTGTTTGATACCTTATACAAATGACAATGAAATCAATATTTAGACAAAGCTGTCCAGAGGTCATATCTTTTAAACTACAATATTGATTTAGACTACATAAGAGGTTAATGTGCATATTATTAACTTTAATGATAAAGAATAATTGTTTTAAATGCATTGTGAATTGTAGTCACAGTAGTTTACACTTCTGTGAAAGCTTAAATATCATTGAAGATTTTCAATTAAATTTTAATGGGAAGGAATTCATTAGCTATCAGTGACAGATAAGCTAGGTAGCCCAATACAGCAATGTGTTTACTTTCCATATTGTAATTCTTAAAATGAGCTGTACAAACTTTGACTCACCTTTAATTTAATTTATTAATTTTATATTAAAAAAGAGATTTAATATGTGTGTGTTAGTTCAGTGACCTCAGATACCCCAGGATAAATGGATCATTTGATATGATGCTAGTCTTTCCAGTTTTGAGTTTTAGGAATCATTTTCAATAAAAAATAGAGAACTGGGAGTCTTCAAGGTCTGATGAAATTTTTACTTTTGGCTTAGGATCTGTATTGTCTCCCCCGATCTTCAACCTCTTGCCCTCCCTTCAACCACCCCTCACTTCCAGCTCTACATCCTATGGGAGATAGTGTTCAAAAATGAATATTTTGTTCATTAAACCATATTGTAATAGGTTTTATTTGGCATATCAAAAATTGTATTTTTATTCATAGAATTAAGTATAAGCATAAAAAGGCAGATTCAAATAGTTTTCAAAATATGTTTAAAAGTAAGCTAGTAGGCCAGACCATTACCAGTGTGCCATATTTTAGAAGTCAGTAAGCCATACATGTAAGGAAAGCTGGGAATTGGTCCTTGGGTTACCCTGAGGAACAGATCGTGGAAAGGTTGGAGAAGTGGCTGTGCCTGGTGTGTCCAGGAATATCCAGGAAGCCACTGTGACTGCAGGAATGGACTGAGGTTGCGGGGGGGCTAGTAGGTGACACAGAGAGGTCTGGGGAGAGTGGCAGGGTTCTGAAAGGACTTGGCTTTCACTCCAAGTGAGAGAAGAAGCTTTTGAAGGCGTCTGAGTTGAGGAGTGACATGCTCCGGTAGCTGCTACTTGGAAAATAAGGTAGAGCAAGGGCATGGAGACGGTAGAAAGAAGAATTAGGAGACAACTGCAATGATTCAGGTGATGAAAAGTGGTTGGATTCTGGATCTGCACTGAAGGTAGAATCAACAGGATTTGCAGATGTCAATACTGAATAATCCATTATGCCCTCATATTATTATCTGAAGATGGAAAACAATTTATTGAGCTTATCCAAGTCAGTTCTTTTTTTTCAAGGACAATAAGTGTTTGACATGGTTCTCACACTGGATAGCTCTAGAATCTAACAAAGAGAAAAGTTTAGGTGAGGAGAGAGCAGGCAATTTTATGTTTAATTTCTATTCATCTTTTCTTTCAAAAAGTTATCTTTTACAGTTACCAGTAATGGATTCCAACATCAGGTCTTTACACACTATGTTAGTTTTGACTAATTTAGAAAGCATCCTTCTGCCATGGCATGATTCAAAGGCAATTAAAAATTAACAGCAATTTCAACCAAAATAATAGTAAATATACAATATTGAATTCCACAAACTTACCACTAAAAAACATACACTATGGTTTTATTTTAAAGTGGCTACACATAGTCAATGTGCTTATATGGTTTGCTAAATAATGCTTTGAATAACTGGTTTTCAATTTTAAAATTGAATTTTCAGTCTTAAATTTTGCAGCTTTGATTATCTGCCACTTAAATAAACAAAACCAATCAGAGAAATACTAGTGATGGATCTAACCATTAATTATCTCAATTCTTCCTTCCTTTCATCCTTTTATCATTCCATTTAGGCCCTATGAGATGCTGCTCTGCTTGCTGAGAGTACCTGGGTTGTGGGGTTGGCTGTGGGATGGAGTGCTAATGTCTACAAAGGCATTATATTCTGCAAAGCTCCAGAGAGTGATACGAAGCAGTCCTCTGTAATGTTTTTATTCAATACCGTATGGCTAGAAATGCAAGGAATGAAGACAGCATCCAAACTTGAAGTGTATTTTGTTTCTGATAATTTTTGAGTACTTAAAGAGCCTGAATGTATGAGAATACAGATTATATAATATTTTGTCTCCTGCTTGCTCATTTTTGTCATAAGACTAAAGCCTATCTTCAGTGGGTACCAACTGGCTCTTCCTTAAGCGCCATCATTTTGACTAAAAAGTACCTACTCCTCTCCTCAGCATTACAAGAACCTGGAGAATTTGGTTTAGAGAGAAGATAGAAATTGCTGCAGTAAAATAGGGGAGGGCAAGGGCTATGGGATTGATTGCTTGAACTGCCATGAAAACTAGGAAAAGAATCATCTTTCCTTGAGAACATGGCAATTTTCCATGTTGACAATTTTCTAGAGAGTAACAAGAATGCCTTCTAAAGTATTCATTACTTATTGAGTGTTTGCTCTGCTCACCCCAGAATTATAAGTATGATTAAGACAGACTCCACCTCTCAAGGCACCTCTCAAGGGGACATGATAGCCATGTAAATACACAATTATGATGCAGGGTTGTAAGTGCTATAATAAAGGGAAGTGAAGGGTATAACAGGAGAAATGAGATGGAAGTGCATCATTCCATAACTCTAGAATAGAAAGAGGAAAAGGAAGTGAAGATTTTTTTCAGTGGAGATAGCTCTTGTGATCCATGGTGATGGTACAGCTCTATTTATTACAGACATTTTTAGAAGCTAAGGACAACAACAAAAAGGGTAGATTCACATTTTATGATCAGGAATGTTTAGGTTTATTTTTCTTTGAGTTGGGGTCTCACTCTGTCCCCCAGGATGGAGTGCAGGGGCATAATCACAAGGATCATGGCTCACAACAACCTCTTGGACTCAGGTGATCTCTTCGCCTGAGCCTCCCAAGTAGCTGGGACTACAAGTGTGGGTCACCAGGCCTGGCCACTTTTTGATTTTTTGTAGAAATGAGGTCTTGCTATGTTGTCCAGCCTGTGTTCAAACTCCTGGGACCAAGTAATCCATCTGCCTTGGCTTCCCAAAGTGTGGGGATTATAGGCATGAGCCACTGTGTCCAGCCAGGAATATTTAGCTTCAATCTATCTGTGTACCCCTTTTATAAGGTCTCTATAATACAAAAATCCAGATATGTGTTATATCACTCCTATAAAATAGACACTTAAAAATATTGTTAGGACTGATGCATTTATCTATAATCTAGTTAAATACTGAAGACTCTTTTTCCCTATGAATTTTGATTTTTTAAAGTTTATAAGGAATTAACATTATAAAGAGGTTCTTTGCCTAACTCATAATACAGAATCTATATCAGTTTTTAAAGCACATATTCTATTACCTCAACTCTTCTTTTGGCAAAAAGTCATTTCTACAACAATAAAAACAAACGTCAGAGTTGTCTCCAGTGGGCGCCTTTTCTGGCAATCTTCAAAACGGCACCAAGGATTAAGTGTGGTGCACTGACTGGCTAATTCTCTCTCACTCTTAGCCCTTGCTCTTAGAGGTCACAACACTGACATACCAATAAAGAACTGTGGGAAAGTCTGTACCGCCCCTGCTCGCTTGCTACCTGTTTTGTGGGCAACTGGATGACTTCAGTTGGTGCAAACTACTGGTTTGGGCATTAAAGTCACTCAAAAGATACTGAATGATATTCTTGCTCCCAGAATAGAGAGTTAATCCTGATCCATCAGTGGTGGGCTTTGTCCAGGGTCATTTTGCTGCTGACAAGTAGCACAGTTTGCTGGATGTGATGTGTTATAAAAAATGTGTGTGTGTGGGGACCCAGTGACCACCTCTTTGTTGCCATGTCTGAAAACACAGAAGGCTTTCAATAGCATAGAAAGCAATTCATCCCCATGGGGGCCTTTTATTTGGGACCTACCTTGCACAAATTAAGCTCTTTGGTTTAATTTCCTCAGTTGCCACAGTTTGAAATGGCTATATTTTAATCTTTTTTTTTTAGATTATAATCAAGGTTGCCATCTGTCCTTTCTACAAACTGGAATTTCAATCATAACATACAACAATGTTATAGTTGAGAGAATTCCATAGGGCCCATCAGAACAAAAAGCAACGTATGTTGAAGACATCTTCCAATCCTCCTT